GGGTGAGGCAGATCTGTTGCTGGCCTCTGGACGGCCGCTCACGGCGGCTCTTGGCAGCTTACACCAGCTACCAGCCGCTCACGCTGGCTGCCGGCCACACACGGTAGCTTATGGCAGCCCACTGCAGCTTCACTGCAGCCTACACCACTGCTGGTGACTCACGGCAGCCCAGCTCCGGGTCGAGCTGTTGTTCACCATCTTAGCTGTAGAGGGCGCAGCGTCACTGGCCCTCATGTGGGATCTGAACCAGGACCCTGCTGTTCAGAGCCAGCATCCCAAGCCAGCTCTTAACCAATGGGCCACTCAGCCGGCCCCTCTTTTATTTCTTATTCACATAGCTAGTTCCTTTTGTGCTTTTTCATCCTTCCAGAGCCTGGAGACATTTGTGTTATTGACCTGGACCTGTAATGCCGGCAACTCCCTTTTATTCCCATTGCTTTCTACATTGATGAAATTCTTTTGTGTGTGGGTGGTGAATACTCAATTCCCATATTAACTAGCCTACCAAGTTGAAAGTTGAAGAAGGCAGCACACACAGGCCCTTTGGCTGATCTTCTAAGGTGAAATGAAGATAGAAATGTTGAGTGAATGAGTGTTTGGCATCAGTGGCTATTAACCTTGGGAAGGGAAGCTTTTGACATGTTCAGAAAGGTAGAGCTGCAGGATCGGTATAAATTTTATTTTCTTTGTTTCTTTTATTTCCACCCATAGGGCCTCACATAGTGTTTGGCCCATAGTAGACATTTGGTAACTGTTTGACTCTGTACATGTATGCATGCGTGAATGGATGCCCCTACATTGAAATGTGTTAGATGTGAAGTATGTTAGAAGAAGATAACTGGACAAACTTTTTCTAGGTGAAAGGAATTTGGATACAGCCCATGCCCATGCCAGCACTGTTCCTGAGGAATCAGAAAATGAAGATGATGGGTATGATGTTCCTAAGCCACCTGTGCCAGCAGTGCTGGCACGCCGAACTCTGTCAGATATCTCTAATGCCAGCTCCTCCTTTGGCTGGTTGTCTCTGGAAGGTGATCACACAACAAGTGAGTCTCCAGGCTACCTTGGGTTTGTACCAAATTGCTGTATAGCTCCTAATTTATACCGAACTAGAGATGACTGACTTCCTGGTGACAATAAGTCAGTAGTTGGAAGTAGTAGACTAAAAAGTATGCCTAATGGGAAGAAAGCTGGTCCTGGGTCCCAAATTAGGAAGTTAAACTATAGTCAGACTCTTCAGGATTTTGCCTGACTTAGAAATGAGGTTGTTTCTTAAATCATGATTCCTCCTGTGCTGGGGGTGAGTAGGATTTGTGGCTCTATTGAGTGTGCTTTATGACAGTGGTTATTAAGCTTGATGGTTCAGACCACACATTCCTGACTTCTGGCCCCCATCCTATTGGAAAGGAGGTGTGCTGACTCTGGGAAGCACACTGAATGGGCCTGAAGCCAGCCCACATTTGGGCCTGGATTATCAAGGGCTGCTTTTCTTGCACCTGTGGCTGCCTGGGGGCGCAGCAGCCAGAATTGCTGTCACGGGAAATTGAAGACAGCATTCAGGACAGCTGGTGAAAAAGATATTATAGGAGCCAGTTGCCCAAACAGGTGGTGCTTCCCACCCACCCAACCTTGTTTAATGCTTCTTCACTGCAAATCAGGCTGATTCTGTTTCATTATTTGTGAAAGGAGAAGTTTAGTGCCTTCTTTGGCCCGCTCAGAAATTTTTTTAAAAGAATCCAGGCAATAATGTATATGAAAACTTGTTACTAAGTGAAAAGCATGATGCACATGCAGATGTTCTGTGCATGTGACAGCAGTGGTTATTATTAGTAGGACAGGTGGTATAATTAGAAGGTTGCTCCTGCTGTGAGGAGAGGGCTATATACTAAAATGCTTGAACCTGTAAAACTTACCCTTTTGACTGAAGAGCATATGTACTAAATTGACAGTAGGTCAGTAATACATATTTTGATATTAGCACATTGTTTTTATTACTTCCATTAAATAAGGATGTCCCCCCAGATTTGCAATTATTTTCTTTCCTTTTTCTTATAGACTTCACTGAGGGTTCCCAAGTTCCTGAGAGGCCTCCCAAGCCGTTCCCACGGAGAATCAACTCTGAACGAAAAGCGGGCAGCTGTCAGCAAGGTGGTGCTGCTGCTGCTGCTGCTGCTGCTGCTGCTGCCGCCACCGCTGCCACCGCCGCCACCACCGCTGCCACCTCTCCGCAGCTCTCCAGTGAAATTGAGAACCTCATGAGTCAGGGATACTCTTATCAGGACATTCAGAAAGCTCTGGTCATTGCCCACAACAACATTGAAATGGCCAAAAATATCCTCCGGGAATTTGTTTCTATTTCTTCTCCTGCCCATGTAGCCACCTAGCACATCATCTCCCTGCTGCAACTTTGGAGGACCAGTGAGCTGGGAGCTCTTACTCGAGTAGCACCTAAAGAGCAGAGAGGTTCCTTTGGAGACTTCACAATGAAGTCTGGCCCTGTCTTTGGGCTATCATATTTGTGGTTCTAAGATTTCAAAGCAGTGGGATGGAAATGGGGCAGCTAGTGTGTTTTATTATTTTATTTGTTTTGAGAGTGCATTTGAAGGTGTCCTTCAGTCCCCACTTAGAGAGAGTGTGGATTTTTTTTTTTTAAATGGTAGTCTATCTGGGGAACAGTCCAGAAAGCAGTAGAAGTATTATTCTGTAAATCCTAATTGAGGACTTAAGACTTTCCTGGGTTAAGAATGTGGTTGTGTATCTGTGTATGGCGGTGTGTGTCCTGTGATTACAAGATTAACCTGCTGTCTGTGTTAATCCCAGGCAGGGAATTAGCACAAGAGGTTTAGGAAGGAATCTTTTAAAAACTTCCATCTACTGTGGTATTATACCCAACCCCAGTGTGTATTACAACTTCAACACTCCCCTGTGGCTTGGATTATCATATGCATAGCTAAAGTCTTATATTTTTAGAATACCCTCCCTCTGTCCTCCTTCCCTTTATCTGTCATTGGCAGTTGGCATGCTATGACCAGCCTTACTGAAGCCAAGCAGCTTGTAGAATGTTCTTTATTATGTGTGAGGTGTTGGTTTGTTTGGTAGATAGGTGGGAAAAAGTACTGTTGCGGCATCATTATAGTCATATTTGATACTAGCAGCTAACACTGGTCACTCCAAAGCACTGTTTTTAATAGGAACATTGAATCTGTTAAAATAAGATGTTTTAATGATAATTACACAATGATTGATTTCAGATATAAGCCTTCAAATACATTCCATGCCCTCCCCAGAGAATAGCCTTTGGGAGTCAGTTGCCTTGGTGCCAGGCATATGTGTGTCTAATGTAGGTCATGAGATTTTCTACTTAATGGGAAGGGAAGAGCCCTTGTTTCCACATGGCTTTCTGGCCCGAATACCATGAAGCTTTTAGGAAACTTCATTCACATGTTCTTTACCCTATTATCCATAAAATGCATAAAATAGACCATAAGGATTTGTCTGTTCAGTTTTTCGTCCCAGTGAATTAATTCCAGCTTATATGGGTGTCTCCCTTCCAACATGAGCCAGGTTATATTTTCAAAAATGATTTTTTTTTTCCCTTTAAGGAATGGGGGTACCACCCCATGGTAGCACAGCATTTTGCTGATAATTAGCACCAATCCTACATTGGTGCCACCCAACAACTTGGTTTTCTCTTGTGCCTGTGGCTTTGGGAATGTAGCATTTCCTTTCCCTTTCCCCTTCACCTTATTCCTATATACTCTTTTTATTTATTTTTTTATTTTTATTTTTATTTTTTATTTTTTTTTTAGCTGAGCCATCCTGCTACCTGTTGGCAGCTCAGTGGCAGCTCAGTGGCAGCTCGGCTCGGGCCGGGCATCGAACCACTGTTGCTCAGAGCTCAAACTCTTGAGTGAGCTCTTAACCAACTGAGCCACTCGGCCGGCCCTTACCCTTAGTTTTTTGTTTTTTGTTTTTTGTTTTCTTTTAGCTGAGCCATCCTGCCACCTGTTGGCAGCTCAGCGGCTGCTCAGCTCGGGCTGGGGCTCGAACTGCTGTTGCTCAGAGCTCGCACTCTTGAGCGAGCTCTTAACCAACTGAGCCACTCGGCCGGCCCCCTATATACTCTTTAATGACTGCATTTCCCACAGTAATTAGACATTTAGTGTAAGAAATGATTTTACTATAATGAGATACAGTATGTGAACAGCCAGGCAGTTTGTGGAATTGCAGGTTCATAAAGCAGATTCATTCTGGTGTGGAGCACCATTGTTCCTGTAGATATTGCCGAATGACCCCTCGAGTTTAGGTCATTATCTGCCCAGAGTCTAATGACTTCCCTAGCACAGTGTAACCTTCTTCCTTATCAGAAGCAAGGCTGCTCTTTGATTAATCTACCCTTCTCAAACTCTAAATCATGCTTTTGTCCTTAGTTCCAGACAGAAATTACTATCCTTAGATCTGTTTTCTTCCCCATCTTGTCTTCTTTGTAACTAAAACGTTTTCTAACTCTTCTCTTGGCTTTTGACTATTCATAGATCTTTTGATTTTATCCTCTTGTTCAGAGCCATTTACATTCTCATAGTAGACAGTATAGGACTTCTTGTTGATTTGCCATGGTTACCCAGTGTCTCCTTTACATGGCAGAAAACAGCACAGCCCGCCACCAGGTGCAGGAGGTCCTGAACTGGAGTGGAGATGGGCAAAGGACAGTGGCAATAAGTAGGAAACAGTAACTTAGCATCTCCTTCTAAAAACCAGTGTAGTGTTTTGTTTGTGGTAACGTTCACTTTTGCATTTTATTTAGATAATGAAAGCATAGACTAAGAACTAGAAAAAGTGGCAGCAGATTTCATGCCTAGCCACACTGGAATTTTTCCTTGTCTGTAGATATTGCCCAAAGTCTGAAGATCTATCAGGAGGACAAAGCACTGATTCTGCATGTCTTTTGCCTTTTCAAAGTGTACCCAAAATTTCTTTGGGAATGTTCTTACTTATATAGGCTAAGGTCAGGTTCATCCTTTCTTTTCCTAATGGAGTACTCTTGTGGCTTGTTGGGTCCTTCCTAAATTGGAGTATAGATCCCTGTGTTGAACATGTGCATCCTTGATTGGCCTGGTCATTCATTACCTTGTCAGCTGTGTATCTGTAGGCATTCAGAGTTTTAGACCATTCTGTGAGGGCTTCTCTTTCCCTTTGACTGGGTGCTCTGAGGGTACACCTGGGTCCATACCTGAGATTGCCAGGCGAGACTCAGGAAAGTTTTCACATGGCTCTTGTTTTGAGGATATTCCTAAAATTTTAATTTCTTAAATTTTCCTTTGAGTAAGGAACTAATAACTTGTTCTTCATCCTCCATTTGTATGGCAATTTTTAATTCTTTGGCTCTGCTCTGAATTTAACTAAAATTGCCCTTTCACAAGCAGGCTTTATTTTGAGTTTGGAGCAAACCCATCCCACTCACCCCCACCCCACCCCCAATTACAAATGGTCCCTCCTCTGTTAAGTATCAGGTAAATAAGGTAGAAACCACTTTGATGTTTTTCTTTTTCTTAAATACATTAGGCTGTTCTGTTCAACTCAGCCTCCTGTTTTCCCTATGTCTTCCTGGGTTGCTTCCTGCGATGTTACTGGATGGCTGCCTTGCAATACTTAAAATCATCTTCCCCTGCTATACATCTTTCACCAAAGGGTTCTCCAAGTGGAAAAAACCTGTGGGCTCTATGATATACCTCCCTTTTTATGTAAATAATAGGTTGGGCAATTGATCGTCTCAGCATTTGTCTGTTACTATTTTATGTAAATAGTGATCTATATCTGTGGATGGTCATTCTCTTTCACTGGCCCTTTCTCCCCGCAGCCATACGCTAGATGTTCTGTTCTTCTGTCCTCTCTCTTTTTATACAGACTCAACACCAGGGCCCAGGATGTGGGATAGTACTATTGGTATCATTTGGCTGTTTTGTGGATTAAAAAAAATTGGGGGGGGAGGGATCGTTATTCTTTGTACTTGAAGTATTTATTTCTTCTACAGAAAAATAAAATATTTTATGGTCCAAATGGCAAACTTACAAATGAATTTTTGTAAATTTGCTTACAAAGTAGGGACCCAGCTATATGTTCCCTTTAAGGCACTATTAACAAGATCTAGACCTTTTTTTTTTCTTTTTTATTGAGGTATAATTGACATATAGCATTGTATTAGTTTCAGGTGTACAACATAATGATTCAACATTTGTATACACTGCAAAATGATCACCACGATAAATCTAGTAAGCATCCATCACCATACATAGTTACAAAAAATGATGTTTTCCTTGCGATGAGAACTTTTTAAGATTTACTCTCTTGGCAACTTTCAGATATGCATTAAGGATCTAGACCTTTTAGTGGGTGATCCGCAATGGTGTTAATGCAGAATCTTCTACCTCACATCATGAAAGTCAGAGAGTGATAGACCATTTCCCAAACTGTTTGTAAGTTCCCCTTCTTACCGCTGGCCTTTCTGATTCTCCAGTGACCACTGCCCATAAAATAACAGTATTCTGACCAACTGACCTGGCTGTTTACTGGTTCATTTGTTCATTCAGCAAATGTTTATGAGTGGTTACCATGAGCCAGAATTGTCAGCTCAGTGTTCTCCCCGGCCAGTGCATGGTGATTTACTGATGTTGGGAGATTGTACTTGGTCTGCCTAGCACTTGCATTTGGCCCTAAAATAGCCCTTCCCAATAAGATTGTGTAGTTTTTAATTGCAGCTCTTTTATGTAAACATGTATTTCCTGATAGAGCTGTCCTAGTTAAAATCAGTTCGCAACTCTCCCATTGCCCCCTATTGTTTTCCTGTAGCTTTGATAATGTCTGGCTTGTTCCTCAGTGTAAGTCTCATGGATACCAATCATTTTAATGTATTTCAGTGGAATCTGTTTGGTGGGTTGAGGGGTATGTTGGCTCAGTGTTACACAATAGGGCAGTTAGATGTTTAAGCAAAGCATTGCCCACAGTCCCCTTTCTAATCTTGTGCCTTTCTTGATCTTTGCTACTGAGCTGCTTGTATCCCTAATCCCTCTCATTGGGAAGTTTCCTTATCACCCTTCTGGGGCCTGTCATCATCTCCCATTCTATTTGGAACTTGTTTTCCAGTCCTTCAACAACCATTCTAACGCTGTGTCTTAGAATGGCTAAAGATGTGGGAGAGATTATGGACACTTGTCTCTGGGTCCTGATCTTCAACCAGTTGGTTGTTCACCCTAGAGTCAGGCAGTAAAATAGACTGAGTTCAGTTATCTCTTGAGGTAGCGAGCTTAGAGACCTTAGAAGTTAGTATCAAAATCAACACATCATCGTTCTCCTAGACTTTCAGGCTTTAGAAATTCAATCTAAAGTATTCTGACTCAGTGTAAAGCATTACTATCACTACTTTGATCCCAATCTACATTAGCAGTCTTTCTTTAGAAATGCATGTAGCCATTTAATACATAGAGGTGGGTACATAGTGGAAGAAGGTCAAGGTTGTATCTTTGACTATCCTGTTTGGGATGCAAGAAACATTAGTGTTCAAGCTAAAGAAAGGAGGGAATCATAAGGATGTAGATTTCACAGAGCCCAGGATAGGAAATGCAGCTGATACTTGCATGGAGCTGGAACTATAAAACTTTGCACCTAGTCCTTTCTCCTGCTTGTCAGTCTGTTTATTGACATGCACAATCTCAAAATAGACACCCCAGTCCTCAAATCCATGTGACCTTCTAACACTAGGGATCACCATTAACAGATTCCCAGTGCCTCTTGGTTTATATTCTCAGGAAAGAATATGATCACCCCAGCACATTGATTATCTACCCACAACCAGTCAGCCTTGCCACAGGGCAACAGCAGCTTACTCCTTCAGAGGGAAGCTGGAGGGGGATTCTCAGAGAAGAGAGTTTAGATAGGACAGATACCCTAAAAATACTCTGGTAGTAAACTGCTATTGTACTACTTTTTTGAGATTGAAAAGGCAACTGTGGGACTATGGGACATTGAGGAAATGCCTAGGTTTAAATTAATTTGGGTTGCTGTTGTCTTTGTTTCTTTCTTTCCTGTTTTTCTTCCCTTTATGAGTCTTGGTGTCCAAGATGTCTTGTCTCCTTCTGTAGGACCAGTTTCTCCTGTTTTGGAGCTAGTTTATTCTTAGGTGACATTTCTTAGCCCTCATTCAATCTCAGGTTTTTTAGCCTTCTTTCATATTATTTAGAGAGCAGATCACAAATCCCACTGTAGCCACCATGGACTTCTGGGCTCTCTGCAGGTTTCAGCATTAGAAATATATTCCTACTGTGGGCATATGGCCTGTGTTCCTCTGTACCCTCCTCCTCACCCTTTCTTCTTTTCTATATGAGGAGAGCTCCACAGTAATAGTCTTAGGCCTTCCTAGGTACCTCAGAAACTACTATGCTGTAGCCAGTAAGAATATGTAATAGTTGGGAGAGTTGCCATGATATAAACTAGCTATAGATTCTGGTTTAGAATGGAGTTTTTACTGAGAGACATTAGGTAGGATATCTTTGTCTTCCCTGTCCAATTGCTTTCTTTGTAGTCCTATATTAAAACCTTTATTTTTTTATTTTTAAAAGCTGTGCTTCTGCTTGCCTGAATCTTTTGATCTTACTTATTTCATCTAAGAACCTGTCTTGTATTTTTAAGGCATTTCATAAGTACTTATAACTTTTTTAACTACTGGAGTTGTTTGATTTACGCAGAAGTAACCTAATAATCCAAAGATATACATTGAGGTACATGATGAAGGGTGGGTCATCAGACTTTGCATTTGATATTCAAGTCTAGACTCCAGAATTAAGGAGCAGAAGGATAGCAGTGCTGTGCGCCTCCACAGTGTCCTAGGAAATAGGGGTTGATTTCAAAGGGGAATACCATGTTTCTTGGCTCCGGAAAGTAGCACAAGAGTAAGAGGTGGGGAAGCATGGAGGCTCATTTATTGTCAGATGGAAAGCACTCCCCCGAAGGGCCAGCTGTTGACTAACAGCTGTTTGAAGATCTTTCTGCCCCCTCCCTTGTATAGTGCTTAAGAAAAATGTGGCTTACCACTCCCTGATTTGTACAGAGCAAAGGCTGAAAGCCAACCTCAGATCTACTGATTGGGCAGCCAAACAAATCAGCAGAATTCTGATTGCCTGGCCCCATATCCTTGCTTCAGTCCCAAAAACGAATGTGAGAGGTGCCCTCCACATTGCCTTTCACAAGTTCTTCTGCCCCTGAACCAGACTGGGAGGCCAGAGGAGGATTGCTCAATACGTGCTATGTGCAACTCCTCAGGCCTTGCACCGCCTGCATGCTCAGGCCCTGCAGCGGGGTGTACTCTGTGCCCAAGCCCGGCACACTTAAACGTATGTGTTAATGCATCCTGTGTGTCAGTTCCCTCTCCCTCCCCATCTCTGACCCTGTTATGAAGGCTGTCTGGGAACTGAAGAGGCAGGAGCTGCTTATGAGTCTGTAGACCACGTGTTTCCTCTTCCTTGCCTTCTTCCTTTTGCTATCTGGGTTAGTAAGCCTGCAGGCACAGTGCCCGCGAGAGTACATGTCTCCTGACCTACCCTTCTCAGCATTTTAGTGTCTTGGCCTTGACCTCCTGCTGAAACGTGGTTGGGGCATGGCAGCTATGAAGTACCTCCTACATCCACTTTGGCTGTGGTGATTTGGGATTTTTAACCTTATGTATCTTTTTCCTTTATTCAAAACAAAACAATTTTTAGCACACTGAAAAAAAAAAAAGCCAAACATTTTGTGCCTTTCTAAGGCAGCACTGTATCCCAGGCTGCATTTTAGGACTTAATATGGAAATACCAGTCTTAGCTCTCCTCTACCTTGAGTGTCACTAGTCCCTACAGTCTAGGGGAGAGGAAGAAGTGTTCTTTGTGGCTGGAGAGATGACACACAGGTATAGCGTGTCAGTGGTCCCTTCTGCCATGATGCTTATTAGTTGGAAGAAATAAGCGTTGTACCCTGGGATCATTTGATTGGTTCCAATCAGAATCTTAGTTATCAGGTTGAGTGCTGTCTTCAGCAAGAAAAAACAGAATGTTCCATGATGTCCAAGTATACTCTGGACCATGTCACGTGTCCCAGCCTCCTCCTCATCCTATTAATGACCCAGCTGCATGGAAAAGTGTAGGATAGACTCTCCTGAGAAGGGGAGGTCATTTGTTTTTGTCTTTTCTTTTTGCTGGATCCTGAACTGGCCTAGACCCCCTGCCCCTCCCTTTCATTTGAAGACCTCAGACTTAAAGCATTAAGCAGCTGGTGCCCTCTTTAGGGCCTGCTTTTCCCCTGGGAAAGGCAGCAAGGACCATATACCGGAAGCCTGTCCTCTGTACTGGGGCCATTAGGTTTCAGGAAAAAATAAAACAAATATTTTCTATATAATGAATTTTACTTATCTCTTTCCCTTTTCTCAGTTCTTCCCTGCCTTTAACTAATGAAGAATTTGGAGATAGAAACAATTCTTTTTAAAGTCCTCCTTATTCGGGATTCTGACATTCTTGGTCTGGGTGGGGCTGGAAGAGAACATGATGCTTTCTCCAGAATGAAGAGTCCTAATTTGTATATCAGTGTTAAAAATAAAACAACATAAAAACTTTGAGATTTTTGTGGACTATTTTAAAAATGTGTCATTAATATAAAAAATTTTATATTAGTATTTAATCATTCTCACATGTAAAGAATAAGAAAAACAGAAGGTAAATATTCTTACAGAGAATAGCAGAGCTTTAAGATTCATTTTCATGTTAAGTCCATTTTTTTGCCAATGTATTAATGTTTAGAGGTCTGTTATACTAATGTTATTTATTAATTTTTTTCATTTCCATACACAGTTAACTAAAGAGCTTTTTTAAGCACCCATGTGTGTAAAAAAATATTTTAAAATAAAGCTTCTTTTGTTGTAGCAGACTTGAGTTCTTGCTTATTTGTGGTAGTGGAAGAGTGAGTGATACATTGGGTGCTTTCTCGAGGGCAAGTCTAAGTGACAGGAAAGCATAGAAAAAGGGAAAAAGCTCCTTGCCAAGGACCTGCCAGGCCCTATAGGCTGCCTAGAGGAGGAGGGTGCTGCTGAGCAACGGGGGGTGTCCTCTATGGTAGAGCTTGAGCCATTGCTCAGAAGCAGAGGTAACCCCTGGTCTCTGCTGCCAAGTGCCAAGGGTTCTGTGTTCGTTTTGGTATAGTTCCAATCAATTCTGGAGGTCTCAGGCTGCTGTGGCTCCCATGATGAACAAAAAGCAGTGTAAGATTTTTGGGACAATTTAGCTTTATTTTTTTATACATATATAAAACAATTTGCAAATTTACACACAACCTAACAAAACCATATACATACATATATGTATTCTTATATATATATACATACACACACACACACATACATACATACACGCACGCGCACACACAGATATACTTTCACACCCCAAGCTCTAGCCAGGCCTCTGTTTCTCATCCTAAAGTACCATCCTCTCATTAGGGCCCTTCTTTTAAGGTCTAGGCCCACTAGCTTAGTTTGTAGAAGTTTGGTGCTAATATAACCTTAATCCCCATAAAGGACCGTCGGGACCTCATCTCTGTCCCCTGCCCTCACCTATCAGTCTTACATCATCCCTTGAGAGGGCAGTAGGAGGCAAATAAATACAGGAGCTCAAGCTCAATGGCGTTAACTCTGGAAAAACAGTGCACAGCTTCCACACTGCAGGGACAATGAGATATACCCAGCAAACCTTTTAAGGAATGACACCAGTTCCTGGCTTCTGCCCAGAGAAAGGAGTGTCACAAAAGGGACTTGAGGCAGGCAGGCAGTTGCTTCTACATACTGCTGGGGTACTATCCAGAACTGGTGTGAACATACTTCATCTGTGGAGAGGGGCCTGGGCTCAGTGTGTCCTCAGTTTAGTGATACAACTGAATTATGAAGCTAGCCTTTGGGGCAGGAAATCAGCTCAAGATAAATAGGCTACCTAATTCACTAACTGCTGGTAGAAGATGGGTATTTACATCATAACGTATAAAGAGATACACAGTCTGCAAGAAACTCTCCTACCCACTCCTGGAATATTGAGGCCCCGTCAACAAATTGAGAAAGTGGATTGATCCCTGAGGAGCGCACCTCCAGGGCTACGTGAGGTCCTTCTCAGGACGGCTCTGGTCCTAGCCCACTGACCCTCTAAAATTGGGTCTGCAAGTGAGCTGGAGCAGGGGTCTTCTCTGTCGTCCACTTTAGAGGCTTTAGCGACCATCCTGAGTGCGGAGGATGAGGGTGAGCAGGGAACAAGACATGTCCAGGCAGGGAGGGGGGAGAGTTCAGTGTAATTCAGCAGCTAGTGTCTCAGATCGATGTATTTCTCTCCCTAAAAAATGGAAGAACCAGAAGTAAGGGGACATGAAGATAGCGACCAGAGTTCAGGGTGTGTGAGCACTAGAAGAGAGTAGGGACTGAAGCAAAAGCTGATGAACTAGGTGCAGCCTGGAGGGAAGCAGCAAGGGTGAGTACGGCAGGGCAAGGAAGGACAGTCTAGGCCCCCACATCAGACTGGGCCACACTTCACACTTTGTGACCTGAGCTACAAGAGCCATTCAGAAAATGGTGATGATGATGGGACAGGGTCTTTGCTCTCAGTCCTGGGAGTTACCCTCTCCAGGGTTCCTCAGCCACTGGCCTGGCCCTACCATTTGACGGTAGTGTTATGAGGGCAAGACGGGATTGGCTCCCAACCTCCAACAGAGACAAATGAAAGATAGAAAGGGTTAGTGTTCTGGTGAATGAGAACCGACAGCCCCTGTTACTCCCAATCCCTGATGCTGTTTCAGGCACTGGCCATAGGAACTGCTTCCTACCTGGTCTCCTGGAGCCCTCTTGTCACCGTTGCTGCCCTGTAGGAGGCCCATTTCTTCTGGGAGCTTATCTGACTTAACTTCAACTACAAATTCGCTCTTACGAGATGGGGGCAGCGTGCTGGGAGGAGGGAGGGAGGCAAGAGGTTGGCAACTAAGGGGCAAGGGAAGGACGGACTGTTGGGAAGGACGTTGGGCCGGTTATTGGGCTCTTTGGTGTTCTGGGCCGGTTCAGGGAAGGGAAACAGGTAATGAATGAGAGGGAGAAAGTGTGGTTGATGGAAGCTGGGTAGTGGGCAGTAAAGCAGGGAGCAGTCAAACCCAGAGTCCCACTCCTGCTCCTAAAGGGTGACTGGGCACTGGGGCAGGCAGGGGAACGTTGGGAGGAGGCAGCAAGTTGGGTAGCAGGAGATGGGGGCAGGGTGCTAGGAACTGTGCTTACATTTCTTGTTTGCCTGACCGCCCACAAGGCAGCTTGCCCTTCTTGTAGAAGAAATAGAGGAGAGCACCCAGCACAGCCAGGACCAGGACACACACGGTCACAGCCACGATGACCACACCCTTGCTTTCCGGCTTGGGAAGCTTTTTCTCTGTCCCACAAAGACAATCCTAGTCACTCCCTGCCTCAGGCTGCCACATTTCCATCACTGCCCCCACCCCCACTCCCACCCAACCCAGGGCTGATAGAAGATGGGCCATGCTCACCTTTCTTGGCAGGGTTTCCCAGGGACAGTCAGGGCAGAATGAGGATGCCCTGTTTTCAGGCCAGGTCCAGCTTACCTGTGGAGGTGCTGTTGGCTCTGGCATGAGGGTTGACAGTGGACGTGTTGAGGCCAGTTCTGTTGGAGTCTGTTGGGAGAGTAAAGGGATTGGGATGGGTTAGGAAAAGCACAAGTTGATGCCCATGCCTGGGCATGCCCCTACCATACTCTGCAGGAAGAGGCACTTACCCAGCTCCAGGAAAATGATGGTAGTGTTTTTGCCTAGGGAGTTGGAGGCCATACATTCAGCACCTGTCTCCAACAGCTCTGGAGTCACAAGGACATTCAGGATGCTCAGGACACTCTGCGGATCTTGGTCTTGTTCGCTTGCCTACAAAGAACGAGGCAGAGTTCAGGGGGTGGGGAGGATGTGTCTGGTTATGGCAGCAAAGCCTGGTCAGGGATTAATGAGAGCATGGGAAGATGAGATGTGCCTACTCACCATGCCCTTAACATTCCAGGAGATGGTGGGCCGTGGATTTCCTGATGCTTCACAAGACAGGTTCAACATCGCATTCTCCTGCACCCACATCTTCCTCTCCTTTAATGCCATCCACGGGGGCCCTGGGGAGGCAAGGGTAGAGTAAGGCAGCAAACTCCACTAGCCCGCCCCCCCCCACTCCCCAGAGCACCCCAGGGCAGCGGGTGAGTGGCTTTCTGCCCTCAAAGAACTTTAAACCACCCAACTTGGGGTGGCTTCAAGGGGCCACCAGATCGCTGCCCAGAGGGCCTCACCCAAAATAGTCACGTTGACCAGCTGTGTGCGGTTTAGGCCAGGTACGCTGGACACAGATGCCATGCAGCGGTAGCTTCCCCCTGCCTCCCGTTTCAGGTTGTGTAATTGAAGCACAGGCCCCTTTTCCAGCACCTTCCCTGTCTGGGGTGAGAGACATGTCAGAGGGCACTCCCAGCCTCATCCACCCCACAGCCCCAGGGCCACCTGGGTACCTTTTCTCTCAGCCACTGGAACTCAGGAACCTGGTTACTCTCTGCCTCACAGGTCAGGGTGAGGTTGCTGCCTTCCTGGCTCTCAGGGGCTGCGGGGCTTACCCGGACATCAGATACATCTGGAAACACAGCAATGGTGTCAGCCTGCTTGGGGATTCCCTTTTACCCCAGCCTGGCCCCTCTGTCCTGGGCCCCCAGCCCCTCACAGTTCACCAGCAGCTCCTGTGGGTCACTTTGCAGTGATACCAATGTTTCTAAGTCCAGGCCGTGACATTGATAAAGCCCACTGTGCTTCTTCTGGACAGCCTCCAAGACCAGGATCCCATTGTCATCGGTTGTCTTCTCCTCCTCCACCACCATGGTGCTGAGGTTCTGTGGGAGAGGATGAAGGGATGAGCAGAGTGCGCCTCCAGCCCCTCCTACATCCCCATCTGCACCAAGCACAAAGCCCTCCACACCTGCTTGCTGACGCTGAAGTGGGGTGGGGGGTTGCCATCAGCTAAACACCTGATTTCCACACGGTCCCCTTCCTTCAGTATTCCCACAGGCTCCACTTCCAACCACACTTTCTCCGCTGGGTCTGCACAGCAAAGGAGATAGCTTTCAGCCCACGCTGCCCATGCTGGGCAGGGAGAAGCTAGTAGGAGTTTCCCCCAGGCCCAGCCCCGATGCAGCCGTCGGTACTTACAGAAAACAGGGACAGTGACCTCTCTCGATTCCTTCATGTGGTTCCCACTGGGCAGCCGGTAGTTGAGCTCACAATAAAACTGGGCATCTTTGTCCTCCTTAAGCAACTGTGCCTTCAGAACACTCCGCAAGGTGTACAGACCACTTGACTCTACGATCTGGGATGACTGAATGTGGATTCCTGGACAGGGAGGAAGGGAACAAGGGCTTGGCCTCAGCCCTGCCTCCAACCCACCCATGGTCTCCTCAGTGGTTGGCAGGGTAGAGACCTAAAGGGGACCAAGAACAAATGGCAAGCTGAGACCCTTCAATCCAGCACTTTCACTGCTCGTTATCTACAAACACATGTGGGCACACATACAAGGATGTGTACAAATAACACTGCAGTGATGAAAAAAGGAATAAGGCAACATTTTAGTCATCCAGTAACAGGAATGAATGGTTAACTAAACTATATTATCTACATCTTATGGAATCTTGGGCAGTAGACTAAACAATAAGGTAGATCTAAAAAGACTGACCTGGAAAGGTTTCCAACACTCATTGTCAAAAGGAAAACAAAACTGTATAACAATGTACACCATACAATACCATTCAGGTCAGGGTTTCTCAACCTCGGCACCACTGATGTTTTGGGCCAGAGAATTCTTTGTTGTGGGGCTGTCCTGTGCATTGCAGGATGTTTAGTAACCTCCCTGGCCTCTACCCACTAGATGCCAGTAGCACCCCTCTATTTGTGACAACCAAATGTATCTCCAGAGGGGAGCAAAATCATCCCTGGTTGAGAACCACTGATTTAGGTAATAAAAAAACAAAAGCCTATATATTCCTAGATTTATTTATATATGCAGGTAAACAAAAATAGGCTCAAAAGAACACACACTGACAGCAGTGCTTACTTCTGGGAGAGGGTCTGGGGCAGGAAGGAAATCTTCCTTCTAGATTTGCTGTACAGCTTAAATTCTTATGAAAATATTTTCAAGCATCACTTGTGTACTTTAAAAAAAAAAGTAAAATAAAATGTAAGGTGGTCCCTGTGTGGTGTCATAAGAATGGTTTTTAAGGGCTGAGAGGGCTACTCACGGTTCTCCTCCTTCAGGGGCTGGCGATTCTTGTACCAGATGACTTGAGGAATGGGGTACCCATTCCTCCCCACACAGGTGGCAACCTAAGAAGGACAGGGTGAGTCTCCCTGCCTCTGAGACCCCACCAAGCCCCACTCTAGCTCCTGCTTACCACCGGCCACCCTGGTGTATCTCACCTCCTCAGGCTCCCTGCTGCTCACAGAAATGCCCAAGGTATTCAACTGGATGCTTGGCTCCTCCGGAGCTTCTACAAGGGAGAGAAATTGTTAGGTCCTTACTTCTTAAAAAATGACCCAAGAGACAGAGTTTTCATTCCAAAGGCTTTATTAGCCTAGTCTGGCGTCCGCCTCACTCTGCAGGAGAACGGCCCCGAGGTCTTGGCAGGTGGAAGTTGTATAGGGTTTGATTTCCGGGGTTTTGGGCAAACGCAGAAGTAAAGCAAATGGACAGAAGCAAGAAGAGCTGTTAGTTTTTGTGAGATGTCTCAAACCAGTTGCAAAAAAAAAAAAGTATTTCTGTAAAATTTCAACCCATTTCTTATAAATCTAAGTTTTTACTATAATTATTTCTTGTGATATTAAGTTTCAGTTTGTTATTACCACATTCTGGTGTCTGAACAGGATACTCTGCTAAACCTAGCTGAAGTGGCTGAAGTGTGGCTTCCTCTTATTCTTCAGGACTGGGGTATTTTTAAAATAAGCCTGTCTGGCCTAGGATCCGGGCCGGGGTCCTTACAAAATGAAGAGGGGCATGGGACCAGCACTTCATACAACCCATACTGCCCACGAGGCACAGATGCGGCACTCACTGTAGACACGGAGCTGGATGCGGTGCTCCTGGGACCGAGGGCGCTTGTCCCGGCACAGGAAGATGCGCTCATCATGGGGGGTGACATGTGTCAGGGCCAGAGTCGTCCCTTTGTCCTGGAGGCTGAGTCGGTGCTGATATTCCCCAGGTTCGCTCTGACCCTGGCCCTGACGCACACGGAAGATGAGTGCCGGCTTCTCCTTGTGGACCTAAGGGGAGGTGGTAGAGGATGTGAAGGTCTTGGGCCTACATAAAGGGTAGAGCCTCCTCCTGCCCTCTCTGGAGCCCCAGCACTCACAGAAAACCAGTCGATATGGCTGAAGTTACCCTGGGAATGGGAGAAGCCACACTTGAGAAGGGCTGTGCTGCCCACTTCCACCTCCACCAGCTCGGGCTCAGGCTGTTCTGCCTCTCCAGGCACACCTAGGGGGTGAGGGAGGGGGCACACCCCAGCAGTTGTGTCAGCTCCAGCTGATCTCCATGCCCTCCTCTCACACCCGCTCACTGCAGCTGTTCTTCCTGCCACTTTAAGGGTCTGAAGAGGGCCCTGTCCTCTCCTAACCTTCAACCACTCTCTACTGTCCGCCCAGGGCCAGCTCTCTCCCAGTTCAAGGGACTTGGGGATGGTCATCTCCGGTCCTTGGAGCAGAGACCCTGAGCGCCAGGCACCTCCCAGATTGAGGCTGGCAGAGAGGGGCAACCCAGGCTCTGGGCCAAGAGGAAGGCCCTTTCCTTCCAGTGCCCCTCCTCGCTGAGTGAGCTTGAGTGTGGGAATGCAAGGCATGTGCTACGCTGGGGCACACAGGCCCCTTTGTGTCCCCACACCCAGGGGAAGACATCACTACTCTACCATTTGCCCTCCAAAAACACCCCTCACCAAATCCCCCACAAGAACCATTGGGCCAATCCTAGCCAGAAGTTCATCTCTCATACTCCCCAAGCAGCACCTTCATGAACATCCCACACACTCCTGGGATCCCATCCTGGGAGTCTTGTGAGTATGGAGGGGTCAGAGTCATAGAGGGGTCTGAGCCTCCTCCACGGGTCAACGCAAGGGCCAGGCAGTGGGCAGGAGTGATGTCAGTGGTGCCAGCGTGCTGCGTGCCCTGTGAGGAGGCGATGTCACTCAGTCCCATCTGGCTGGACTCTGCAATGACTGGGTTCTTGCTCTGCCTGCGCTGGCTCCCAGACAGGGAGGTCAGATGGCGTGGTCTTCAACTCCCAGCAGAAGCCTTAGATCCCTGATTCCGTTTCCCCAGAGACAGAAGAGCAGGGCAGGACTGGGCTGGACCTGCTGCAGCTGAGGAGCCTGATTAGCCCTTTCCCCTGAAATACAGTCAGCTTGGGAGGCAGCAGTGGGGGGAGGAGGAGTTGCCCCAGGGACGCTGTCGGCACTGGGCATAAGGCCAGCGAGCTGGGCACTGCCTAGCCCTCCCCTTCCCCAGCCTGACAGCGGCTGCGATCTGGGAGAAGGAGCCAAGAGAAACACGCGACACCGCTGCGTGCCATACAAGGGCAGCGTGGACCCGGGAGCGCCCGGCTCCTAGGCAGTTCGTACAGGGGCGCTCTTCCCACCTGAATGTGGTCCCATTCCCGGAGGTGTAACAAGTCTGGGGCGCTTCCACTCTGGGAACCCTCAGTCCTTCGTCTCTGCCACCTGTGATCCCGTTACTCGGTTGCACGCTAGGCGACCCACACCGTCCCCCAGCCCCTGCCAACGCCCAACTCGGGCGGGAGCCGCTGTCCTCCCCCTCCCCCGCTCACCTCCATACTGGCTCGAAGCCCAGGCTGGGGAGGGAGGGGTCGGCGCACCCCCTCCAGCTAAGAAAAGCTGCCTTTTCCAGCAACAGGCGGGCGCAGAATACACGATTTGAGGTGATGCTCTCTAGCTGCGCCTCCCGCCACCGCCCCAATTGCGGGACCCCAGAATAGGCACTGAGGAAAAACTTCCCTGTGCTCCAAGACGCACGGCTCCACCCTTTCCCGCACCGGGCTGCAGCCTCCTACCGCCTCCCCAGTCTTGCTCTCGGGATAGTCGAAATGAGGCTGCAAACTGGCTGCAAAGAAGAGTGCCGCGCGCGCAAGGCACCGTGTGCCAGGGACCCGGGAAGGAGGGGCGCACGCTGGAGCGCAAAGCTCCGGCCCCCACCGCGAAGCCAGCTCCGCTCCCTGGCACGCTCGACCGAAGACACCCGGCCTGAGCCGTTCGGGGTGCGGGCCCCCCAGCGACCTCACTCACCCGCGGCGCGGCGACAGCAGCAGCAGGCGACGAGCAAGAAGGCGCAGATGAGCCTGGACAGTACCATGCTTCCCGGACCGAGGGCGAGCGCCAAGTGAGCGAGCTCGCTGCCGCCGGGGCTTACGTCAGGGGGGCGGGGGAGGGGGCCCCAGTTCCCGGGCGGCCCCGCCCCGCAGCCCCCCGCCCCCGCTCCCGCCCCGCGCGCCGCAGCCCTGGGGGGCGGGCCAGGCGCCGCTATGCCCGGCGCCGCTCTGAGAGGCAGGGAGCGGAGGTAGGCCGGAGCCGGCTTCCCAGCTCCCAGCTTGAAAAGGATGAAGGGTCAGGGACAGGTGTTTCAGGCCGGACTGACTGGCCGAGGCGGCAGCGAGGAGAAGCTGGCCTGGATGCCCAGAGTAACCCCTGTCAGAACCAACAGCGCTCGCCCTGCTTAGCCCCTACCAGCCAGTGCAGCCCTGGGGGACCTGGCTGAGGAGCAGATGACAAGGGCCTCGGTGTCCCCAGTGGTAGCCTCCCATTCAGGCTCTTCTCCGCCTCCTCCTCCACCCCATCGGACCCCTGCCACAGAAATCGGCCGGCCACGGTCGCTTCCCAGAAGGATTGCACCATTGTGGCTGCCGCCGACCTGGCATTGCCCCCATGACTCGCAGTCCTGACAGCTTTGAGGGAAGAACCCTGGGCCGAATCCTACAGACCCAGAGATACCTGTATTGGGGAATGGAGATCGTGCCTTATGGGCTGTCCCTTGCAATCCAAGCTCCTGAAAGTCTGTCCTTAACTAGAGAAAGGAGGGAGGGAGCCGAATTCACAGGCCCAAGGTTTCATACTTGTCCAAGCCCAGGCCTTGAGAATTCTGTTTCTGCCCTCTTCACGCACTGAGCCTAGCCTGGGACTCAGTTTCCCCTCACCTGAATGAAGAAAAAGGGAAGGAAAAATTAATGGGTGAAGGGACTCCAACTTGACCCCTGAAAACCTGTTGCTGTTCCTGACAGTTAATAGGACCCCCTGGAGCAGGGCTTCACCCTCCTCTACCCACCTACCCCCAGGTTCCCTCAACACTGTAGACTGTGGCTCAGCAGCTGGGGGTGAGGGTATGGAGGAGGAATCAGATCTGGTTTCAGGCAGCCTGGCCAGAGTGGGGTCTTATTCCCAAACCCTGGGTCTTCTGGCCTCTTAAACTAAGGGAGTGGGATGGGCTCTTGCCTCAGAGAGACTCAGCACACTGACCCCTAGAACTACTTCAGCAAGGAGGGCCAAATAGGGGCCTGGATTTGGGGTTGAAGGCCTGTCACCTGGCCTGGCAGACTTTCTGCTGGTTGGGGGAGGAGCAGGGTGAGGCAGCAAACGATGGAGGAGATAGGCAGGTGACTTGAAAGAATCCTCTGGGATGGTGTTTTGATGACGCAGAGATGACTCACAAACCACATCAGCCTGTCTTTCAGAACCTTACTAACCCCTTCCTCCCTCTCCATTTGTCTCCAGCCAGGGGCCATGCCTCACCTGCCAGGCCAGGGACCTGGAGCCTGACGGAGAGAAGAAGAGAGGACCATGGCTCTCAGCCTCTCAGAGTGAATGTATGGACTGGCCCAGGGCCCAGAGTGGAATGGATGAGCTTGTTTGTCTGCAGGGCAGGAGTGGGAATGGCTGAAGGATGCTGTTTGCCCTGGCAAGCCCAGAGCTGGGCATGGAGCTCCGCTTCCTTGCCCCCGCCCCCTTCCCTTTACTTAACACCATTAACTAATCATTCTTTCTCCTGGCTTGAAAACAATGCCAGCTAACCACCAAGGACAATCAGTTCAGAATTTTTCCGCCCTGAGGAGAGTGAAGCCAGGTGGGGGTAGAGGAGCTGCCTCTGCAGTGAAGGGGAAATGAGATTAGAGTACAGGGTGACATCTCTTCCCTGCATGGCTCCACCAAACAAGCACAAAGACTGTCCTTTAAGGAAGCCAGTAGCTTGGGGCAATCTGAGCATCTTGGGGGCAGGCAGTTTTGGGGTGGCTTAATGAGGGGGATTCCAAACCAAAGAGTTGTCAAAACTTTGGAGGAGATTCAGAGAGGATTGGAAACAGGAAGAAGGGGAGTGAAGGCAGAACAGGGCAGAAATAGCAGAGGTAGAATGTATCAGCTCTCCCACTCCTCTAAGATGTCAGAAGATAGAGAGAGCTTCAGCAGTTGCAGGAAAGAAAGAAGGCAGTAGGGAAATTTGCACATTTAGTTGTCCCTAGTAGACTTCTATTTACTCTGTTGGATGTCTTCAAGTTTTCCTAAATAATTGTAACTTTTCACAAAAGCCAATATTAAAAAATAAATTATTTAAGAACAAAAAAAAGGGGCCAGCCGGGTGGCGCGATGGTTAGGAACTGGCTTGGGATGCCAGAGGGCCCCGGTTCGGATCCCGCATATGAGGGCCAGTGACACTGCCCTCTACAGCTGGGCTGCTGTGGGTCGCCGGCGACGGCGTAGGCTGCAGTCCCTGTGGCAGTGGGTTGTCATGGGCTACCGTATGTAGCCAGCAGCCAGCGTGAGCGGCCAGCAGCCNTGCTGGCTACATACAGTAGCCCATGGCAACCCACTGCCACAGGGGCTGCAGCCTACGCCGTCGCCGGCGACTCACAGGCAACCCAGCTCCAGGTTGAGCTGTTGTTCAGCATCTTAGCTGTGGAGGGCAGTGTCACTAGCCCTCATATGTGGGATCCGAACCGGGGCCCTCTGGCATCCCAAGCGAGTTCTTAACCATCGCGCCACTCGGCCGCCCCAAGCTTAAGAATATTTTGTAGTAATTCATTTGTCACAAGAATTTCGGCCATAGGTAACCTCTGCCTGCCCATAGATGGTTGCCAACTGACTCAAAGGTTGTCGCTCACTCAAAGTGGCTTTGGCTGAGTAATATCTCAGATCACTCAAAGGGGAAGTCTTGGTACCAAAATAATGGAAATACTGTGTTAGAAGATCCTGCCAACTCCAAAAATGCCTTTCTTGGTGTGCAGAGCTGGCTGGTTAATTGCACACAGTGCAGGCACAGCAAGTTTGCTGTGTTTGATTTTGTACACATTGAGTTTGAAGCACCAGTGAGATATCTGGGAGCTGTCTGTGTTCAGGAAGCAGCCGAAACCTGAACTTTGTGGAAGGGACTCAGACTGAAGACACAGATTTTAAAATCATGTAGAGAAAAGAAGGCATCATGACTGAAACAGAAAGAATACAGGAGAAGGTAATGTCCAGGGAACAAGGGTGGAGGAAGTAGTCACTGGTGTCAAAGGTTGCAGAAACATAAAGACCTTGTCACTGGACAAATAAGATTTTGAAGAGGAGATGTTAGGGGTGGTGGGATCAAGTATCTTGAAGGGGATATGGGCATATTCTCCAAGATTTGAAATTGGGAAAAAATACACAGTGGGACAATAGAAATAATATCAATAACAATAACCATAACAGACCATGATCTGGGCAGGAGGCTAAAACGAATCTTTATATTATTTTCCTTTGTTTAGAGCAGCGGTTCTCAACCTGTGGGTCGCGACCCCTTTGGGGGTCAAACGACCCTTTCACAGGGGTCGCCTAAGACCATCGGAAAACAAAAAGATANCTAGACTGAAGAACAAAAGGACAGCAACTTGTCTGTTCCCCTTCCCCCAATTCCCCAGCACTGTTCCCATCCCCGCAGTTCCCCAATAAAAATCTAAGAAAAAAAAAAAAGAAAGAAAGGCAGTAGAGAGAGAACTTCCAGCAAGAGGATTGAGATCCAGCAGACGGGGAGACCAACGAGGCAGCTATGGGCCTTCTACCAGCAGAGACTCTTGCCCCTGGACAGGGTTAGAAGCAGCTTTGCCCAGATGTAGGCCAAGATCAGAAGAGGTCCCAGGCCAGAGTCCTAATTCTTTGCCCGTGATTTCTCTGCAGAAGGAAGGGGTATGAATGCTGCTTTCCTGCTCCTCCATGGTCGACAGGCTATTCAGAGATGAGAGGCCCCACTACGTGGAAGGCCCTCTGTTGTGTCTCTCTGCCATAGGTCTGACCACAGGCAGAGAAACTAAGGCTAGGTGGGGTGGTGGCCATGTTCTGGGTCCTCAGCTAAAGTCTCCAGAGTGGGTAGGGCTTACATTTAATTGCAAAGAGAAGTGGAGAAGAGTGGGGCCATAGCTCTAGCGGAGTTGGAGGTAAAAAGATAAGGACAGGGGCGGCCAGGTGGCTCAGTTGGTTAGAATGTGTGCTCTGGGGAACAGGGTTGCCAATTCGATTCTCACATGGGCCAGTGAGCTGCGCCCTCTGCAACTGGATTGAAGACAACGACTTGAGCTGAGCTGCCGGTGGGCGGCTGGATGGCTCAGTTGGGCTGGATGGCTCAGTTGGTTAGAGAGTGTGCTCTTAACAACAAGGTTGCTGGTTTGACTCCCACATGGGAAGGTGGGCTGCACCCTCCGCAACTAGATTGAAAACGGCAACTTGACTTGGAGCTGAGGAGCACCCTCCACAACTAAGATTGGAGGACAACAACTTGACTTGGAGCTGATGGGTCCTGGAAAAAACACATTGTTCCCCAATAAAATGAAATAAAAAATCTGTTCATGAGTTTGTTTTTTTTTAAAAAAGGACGGGTCTGTCCCTGGGGGCTCACTGGAGTAAGATTTCAACCCAGGAGCGCTCTCTCAGCGCTAGCATTGTGGGCACAGTGGCCTCCCACCCACCCCTCTGGTCCAGCGGCCTTTACCAGGAGGATGTGAGAAGGCTGAGCTGAGTGGAGGAAGGAAGCTGATAAAGACAAGTTTGCAGCTGCAATGGGAAGGAGCTGGAAGTGGAGAAGGGTGACCCAGAGATCTTGGCAATTATGGAGGCTGGGGAACCCCCTGAACTGGCCACAAAATAGGGTCCAGTCTGGGTTAAGGGGAGGTAGGAGAATTTTCCCAAAATGGGTATCTGAGTTGGGAGGAGAGTGCTGAGGGAGTGAAAAACAGGGTGGGAGGAGTGGGGGGGCAGCTGTTGCTCAGGACATCATCAGGGCAGGAAACAGGATATTGGGGGGCTGGGTGGAAGATGTAGGGAAGAGATTGAATGGGGGGAAGCAGCCCCTATCCTGGCCGGACACACTCATCCATGTCC